GAAAGATTTATGGAAAGATATGCTCCTACTGCTAAAGATTTAGCTAGTAGAGATGTTGTTTCTAGAGCTATGACTAAAGAAATTTTAGAAGGAAGAGGGTAATTATCATTATATAATAATCATTCTTAGAGTTGGACCAGAAAAAGATCATATATATTTACATTTAAATCATTTACCTGCTGAACTATTACATGAAAGATTACCAGGTATCAGTGAAGCAGCTAAGATCTTCGCAGGAGTTGATGTTACAAAAGAACCAGCTCCAGTATTGCCAACTGTTCATTATAATATGGGTGGAGTACCTACAAATTATAAAACTGAAGTGTTAAATTAAGTTAATGGAAAAGACTAAATTGTTCCTGGACTATTAGCTGCAGGTGAAGCTGCTTGTGCCTCAGTTCATGGTGCAAATAGATTAGGAGCTAATTCATTATTAGATATTGTTGTTTTTGGAAGATAAGCAGCAAATTTAGTTGGTGAAAAATGGAAACCAGGATAAAAACAACCAGATCTACCTAAGAATGCTGGTGAAGCTGCTATTGCAAGAATTGATAGACTTAGACATCATGAAGGATCATAAACAATTGCTTAAGTTAGAAAAGATTTATAGAGAACTATGTAAAAACATGCAGCTGTTTTCAGAATTGAAAAGACTCTATAAGAAGGTGTTGAAAAAGTTAAGGAAATTTATTCAAGAAAGGATGATGTTAGAATTAAAGATAAAGGATTAGTTTGGAATTCTGATCTTATTGAAGGATTAGAATTAGAGAATTTATTATGTATTTATTAATTTATACATTACATTAGTATAAGGAAAAATGACTATTGAAGGGGCTCTGAATAGAAAGGAATCTAGAGGTGCTCATGCTAGAGATGATTTCCCTGATAGAGATGATAAAAATTGGATGAAACACACTCTTGCTAGAATTCAAGATACTAAATCAGGAGATGTTTAATTGACTTATAGAGATGTATAATTATTCATTAATATAATAATAGGTCATTACAAAAACTATGGATCCTAATGAATTTGACACTGTACCACCTAAGAAGAGAGTTTATTGATAATTATAAAATAAAATATATATAATACAAAATTTATGACAGACGTTGAAATTACACCAAAACATTTGAAATTTTAAAAAATTGGATAAGAAAAGACAGTATACAACAATATAATTATTAGATTACTGTCAAGAACAATAGGAGGGTTGTGCTTAATTTTGCATTCAGACTTTTCAAAAATTATGAAATAGCACCAACTGCCCTTTAACTACTTCCTGGAGAGGCAACTGTAGTAACTGTTAAATTAAAGAATGTTGAAGCTCAAGAGGACTTTATTTACATAAAAGGTGATAATTTAGATTGTAGAATTGCTGTTACTTTTGAATGTGATTCTGACCGTTTGAATTAATATATTGATTAAGATATTCAAAATAGGACAATCACATCACCAGGATTTGGAAATTTAGAGACATTTGGTAATGTTAGAAGTGAATAGTTTAATGCTGAAGAAAATAAAATACTTCAATAAAGAATCAATTATCTAACTTAATAAAACCAGTTACTTAATGATGCATTAGAACAATTTATGAATTAAGAGATGGATGGTAATTCTATTAAAGACTTATTAAATCATTTAATAGAATAAGAAAGATAAGACAATGAATTTAGAAGTTAAAGGGTTTTATTAATGATAGAGGAAAAAGATAGAGAAATTGATGATTTAAGATTATAATTATAGAAACATCAATTCAACAGTAATACCAAAGATTAACTTAAAGAATTAGTAAAGGAGAATGAGAAGTTATAAATGAAAATCTAAGACTATCAAGCTAGAGAGTAATATTTTAATTAGCATTAACCTGAAAGAGAGAGTTATGTGATGTTGTATCGTAAATATGAATCAATACTTGATCAAAATAAAAAATTAGAATCAATAAATAGATAAATGAATGAAGAAATTGAAGTTATAGCTAAAAGATTAAATGATAGTGGATTATAGAATTCAAATATTAGAGTTGAAGAAACTAGAGATGAATTAGTAAATAGATTAAATGCTCGTATTACATAACTGAAATTAAGAGAAGAAAAATTACTTGAAGAAAATGCTCATTTAGAAGAAATGCTTATCTAATAATAAGGATCAAGTTAAAATTATTCATCAAATTAATCTAAAAATTTAACAGATGATCTATTAAAAAAAGAATATTAAATATTAGAAAAGTCAAAGAAAGAGTTAGAAAAAAAATGTAATGATACTATATCCAAATCTTAAATACTAGAAAAGTAAGTAGATGAATAAACTAAATAAGCTGGATATTTAGGTGATGAATTATGGAAATCTCAAAGAGAAAATGAAAAGTTAAAATAAGAAATTAAAAAATTAAAAGAATAAGATGAATTAATTAAAAAAGAAAGATTAGAATATGAATCTTAGATTTATGCTCTAGAATAAACACTTAAATAAGCTAATAGTTTATAGGATGTAAAAGAAGAAGCTAGAAAAAGATGGGAAAAAGAATTAGGTAAATTGTAAAGTAGTTATGAAAATGAAATTGTTGCTTATTAAGATGATGCATAAAAATTAAAGAAAATTATTAATGATTTAAAAAAAGAAAATGAAATTACAAATACTTAATTAAAAGAAACATAATTTAAATTTGATTAAAAAATATAATAATTATAATAATATGAAGAATAAATGTAAGAATTATAATTTAAAAATCAAAAACTATAAAAAGTAAATCAATAAAATTAAATTGATATAGAAAAAACAAAAAGTGAATTCATTATTCTTAAAGAAAAAACAGATATTGAACTTTAAAGAAGAGATAACCTTGAAAAGTAACTTTAAGATAGATAATTATGTCTCTAAGATTAAATTAATAATATTATGAAAGAGAAATCAATAACATAAAGTGAATTATAATTAGAAATGAATAAATTATGTTAATAACATAAAGCATCTATTGATTAATTATTGATGGATAACAAATCATTAGAATAATAATATTTATTAGTTCAAGATTAATTAAAAATCTAAAGAGATTAATATGCTTAAAGAGAGGAAGCCTTAATTAGAGAGGTTAGGAATATGTAAGAAAAAATTGAAAAATTAGTATAAAATTAAAAGTAAAAGGAAAAATAGAGAAGAAACAGTAGAAGCAATAATTCTTCAGTTGAAAAAACAGTTGCACCTTCTCTTAATAATATTGAAGAAGAAAGAAAAATCTCTGATTTATATATGTAGAAAATTAGAGAATTGGAATCAGAGTTAAACAAAACTAGATAATAAAAAATGTAAATAGAATTTGATTTTAATCAATTAAAAACAAAAAGTACATTTTTATAATAAGGATAAACAAAAGACTTTCTAGCATAATAGTAACCAGTTCTTGCAGATGATTTAAATGAACTCAAGAAAACTATGATTGAAATGAGACTAGAGAGAGACAAAATAATTAATTAATTATAAGAAAAGGATTATTAGATTGATCATTTGAGTACATAAATTCAAGACTATGCTTCTCTTGTTTAATAATAACAAGGAAATCTTGAACAAATGGAAATTAAATTAAGTTATATTAATGATGATTTCAAAAAAACTCTTGAATAAAAGAATTCTGAATTACACAAACTCAAACTTGAACTTAATATAAGGGAAGAATAGAATTAAGTTTATTAAGAATAGACTAAATTATTAACAAATGAAAGAAGAGAGATTAATGAAAAATGTTATATATAAAATTTTGAAATAGAGTAAATGAAAACCAATTATTAAGAAGTTGAAACATCAAGAAAACAATTAATTTAAGAACTTAGATAGAAAATTGATGTTTTAATAAAAGATAATGAAGAAAATGCTGAAATTATATAAAAAATTAATACTGAAATTGTAAATCAAAAGGAAATATATGAGGAAATTATAGAGAGATAAAATAATACAATGGAATTGATTAGTGAGAAATTCAATTAAGATATGTAAGAATTGTAATGTAGATAAAATTAATATTTTAATTAGAATGATGCTTATAAAAAAAGTCTTAATCCTACTAAAGAATAATAATGGTTTAAAGAATTGATTTAATCATATCATGATAATGTTGTTTAACTTGCTTAAAATATGTAGAAATAGAAATAAAATAATGATAAAAGTAAATAATTACAGTAGACAATTAACCAATAAAAATAATAAATAAAAGAATTATCTGATAAATTAAATACTATTTAAACTGAAAATTAAAACTTATCAAAATAACTTGAAAAGCATAAACCTAAAATTCCTAGTCTCAAAAAACCATCTACAAGTAAATAAATTTAGTAAGAAAAATAGAAATATGATGAACAAGTACCTGTTACATTGCTTTTACAATAAGGTAAAATTGCAGAAGTTGAGATTAAATCTAATTAATATAAAATCTAATTAAAATTAGCTGAATAAAAGATTGATCAATTAAAACAAGCTAATTTAATTTATGAATAAGAATTAAAAAAAGTTAATTAATCAAATTCTCATTTATAAGATTTACTTAAGAATAGAGATTAAACAATTTAAGAATTATAAAAATAATACAAGCAAGAAAATTAAAAAATTATTAATGAATTAAATTAAGTTTAAAATAAATTTGTACCAGAAGATAAAGTTTAGGCACTTAATGAGGTTATATTTTAGAAAGATTAAATTATTAATTAATTAAAAGATGAAATTTAAAGAAAAAAAGATGTTGCTGATTAATTTAGAGGAGACAGAGAAGATCAAAAGCAAATTGTTGAAAAATTAAAAAAATAAAATGAAGATTTATAAACAGAAAATGAAAAATTAAAAAGAGTAAATAAAGATAATGAGAGATAAAGTAGCAATTTCAAAGAATTCAAAGAGAAATATGATCAAATGAAAGTTTAAGAGAAATAAATCTAAGATGAAATTAAAAGCATATAAGAAAAAAATAAGTAACTTAAATAAGACAATACAAGAAAGGAAACTAATATAAAAGAATTAAAGGATAAAATAGATTAACTTTAAAACTAGAAACCAAATGATTCTGAAAAACAAGATTTATTATAATAAGTTAAAAAATTAAAAGATGAAATTAATAGAAAAGATTAAGCAATAAAGCACTTTAAGTAGAAATTTGAAGAAAAGTCTAATGAATTTGAAATTTATAAGACTGATTATGCATCTAAATATGCATAGACTGTATCAGAATTAGGTAATAAATAATTTTATTTTTAGAAAAGGAAATGAGAAAAAATGAATAAGGAAAAATTGGAAGTAAGAAGTATGAAAATTAAGTAAATATGTTAATATTTCTATTGAAACGTATTTATAGAGAGAATTATATGGAATTAAATAAAGGTAATTAAGCAAAGGTTTGCATAAAAGGTGAAAATAAACCTAAAAACATATCTAAGTTTTCAGAGTCTATGAACATTTTAAATTTAGGACCTGAAGATCTTGAAGAATTCTTAGAACCAAATATTTCAGTAAGTACAGTTAAAAAATCAAATAATAAAGATTTGGATAGATTTGAGTCATTATTCATGAATCCTGATTAATTAGACGTAAATTAAATTTTTAATATGATCAATAATGTAATTACTGAAAGAATAAACTGTAGTTGAATAGAATGAATTACTTAAATATTAGTTAATAATTATAATTTTTAAATTAATTGCATTTCTCAATTAATACAAATTATGATAAATTTTTTTTCCTTTGATTTTCTATAAATTTTAAATTATTTTCTAAAATACCAAAAATTCATATCAAAAATACTAAAAATCTAATAATAAGAAACTAAATTAATAAAATAAGTAAGATTAGGAATTTTCTATATACTAATGATTACTATTTGATGATAAAAAAGCTATATAATATTAATTTAATTTATCATAGTAAATTTTTATATTATTTATAAATGATAAAAACTATAAGTCTGACGTTCAATTCTCTTGAAATGGAAGATGCATATAAAGAATGGTGTTTCAAAAATAATTAGAAAAGATATTAACTATTGCTCTGTTTTATTAGTGTTTATTTAGTAGTAATGATTACTGAGTTTAACAACACAAAAACATTATTACCTTTAATTTTATCATGTATAATATTAAGTTTAGAACTAACACTTTTATTCTTCATAAGGAAATACTAAGAAAAAGTGGAAATTATTCTAACCTCTAACTAAATATTATTGTGTTTAATTTGTGAATTCTATAGATTATTTGCTGATAAAAGTAATTAATGGCACATAGGTTATAGTTTAGCATGTATAAAATTATGTAATATTAAATATTCAATTAGTAATTTACGTACGAGGTAATAAATTTATTATGCAAACTGGTTTATAAATTCTTTGCTAATGTTGTTCATTTATTCAAATGAGCGATGTTTAAATTTATGATATTATAACCCATAATTTAATAACTTTGCTTATGGTTGCTTTTAGATATTCTATTGAATCTGGAAATAGATAATATTTTGTAGCTCACTTATCATAACTATAGTATGAAAATATTATATAAGATTTACTTCCCTCTTGGGTTATGATAGTGAAATTTGATAAAAATTAAGGATAATTAAGTCTTGATAAAATAAATAACAATATGAGAGTTAAGCTTGAAATACATGATGATAAGTGCTTTCGAGATTTTTTAAGAAAAATCTAGGCAATTCCATATGAATCTGAAAACTTTTAATCAATTAAGTTAGAACATACATTAATAAGATTATTATAATAATAAAAAGAAGAGCATGCAGTTGAGAGATATTATGCTGAGATATATAAAAATGAAAACAAAACTAAATAGTTGAAATTCAAAATAACACAAGTTTATTTTAAAACATTTGACCCTTCAGTAATTTTGTTATTTGAAGAGTTAAAGGAAGATAAAAATGAATCCTTAATTTAATAGATAGAATAAAGAGATTAATCTTCATCAACTTATGCAAGAATATCACTTTAGATCTTAACTCAATAGATTTCATTGTTATAATTTATTAAAGTTTATCTATCAAAAGAAAAATCATAATAATGTCCTCCTCATTTGATAAAGTATATTAGTCAACAGATTCAAAGGGGATATAATATATTTAATTTAAACTTTGATATATTAAATCAATTTAAAATTGTTCATGGTTAAATCAAATTTGAAGCAAATGAAATTAAACCCTTATTACTGATATAATAATTATGTGAAGACTTAATATTAAATAAAGCATAATCGAATCCAAAAAGGAAATAAATATCAAATACAGATATCATAAAAACTGATAGGGCAAAATTAATTTCTATAATTATCAATTTGGTTGAATTTATTAAAATATTGATGTCAATAATATATGGAGATGAAAAAATCTTAAGTTAAAGTGCTCCATTTGGATTTCCTATATAAATTTCTGTAAAATGTTCGTAAGTTTATCCTAATTGTATAAAATTTGGACTTTAGCATCCTAAATTATATCTATCAGCTTCTATTAGAGAACTATTTTTAAATATTGAAACAGCGATTCATCATAAAAAAAGAAATTGGAATTAAAGAAATTATTTTGGAATGATAAATTAATTAACCAATGTATATTCATAAATTTTTGAAGGGTATAAGAAAGATTTCAATAAATCTACAAGTTTTATGGATGATGATTAATTGTTACATATATAAAAGCCAAGTGTATATTTAAGTTAAGAATCAAGAATGCCCACTTTATAAAATAATATTCCATAATAATTTTAATTTAATATTTTAGGATATCCTATGGCCTAGTATTTGATTAGTTAACTAGGACCATGTAATAAATTACAATTTAAGAATAGATTTATAAATTATAATGGATTAACTAATAATTATACAAATTCTTAATAAACAAAACTATCTTTTCTTATTTATCAAGATTTAGATGAATTTATATAAGAATTAAATAAAACTGAGAAGCCAATTTTTGAACTAATTTAAAAAAAAAAGATACTCCATTATAATAATACTTAAAAATATTATCCTTGTTCTTAATTTGGATCATTTTAGGGAAGATTATGAGTATTTTTAATTCTTTTTTGAAAACTCTTAATTTCATATAAGATTTAAAAATCGTATATATTTTTGTATGATATTTTAATGTTTATAATCTTTTTGGATAGTATATATCATTATGTAACTTGTGTAAATTATAAATTTATAATAAGTGTATTTTTTTTAAATAATATAAAAAGAGAAAAAAATAATGTTATTTTTAATTATAAAAATTGATTTATGTAAGATTAAGAAAAATAGGGAATAGACGATGCTTTAATGATGGGCAACTAAAAGAGAGGTATTGATTACTATTTGGAACAACTAAAATTAACAATCTTTTAAGTTCTATTTGTTATTCGTAATAGTGAAGATGAAGAAGGAGGAATGTTTGGATTCTATTTTTTTAATGCTCTCGATTATTTTCAGATGCATCAATTTCCATTTTATGTAACTATCTATTACCTTTGGAAATAAGACACTTTTATGGAATTTATCACACTTGTTTAAAATCTATTTCAAATAAGTAATTACATTCCAAGTTTAACTTATGAATCTCTTTTAATGACTGTCTACATATTGTTATTTTTTATTTTGCTGATCATTCTAGATATTATTTATGTTTCATACTCATTTTCTCGTAATCGATTTTATTGGCTCTGGCCATTATTATTATTAAAAAAGATAACTTCATTTGTTGTAACTGTAGGATTTTTACCTATCACAGAAACTTTAACTTCTATTTTGTAATGTTATGTAGATCCAGATACAGGAAAATACATAATATATGGTTACAACAATATTTTTGTTGAATGTTGGCAAGACTGGCATACATTTCATGCAGTTTTAGATCTTACATTCATTATATTTTTTTCAATAATTTGTAGTATTGTTGCATATGCCTTTTTTGAACCAGCTATGAATACTAATGATAGATCTGCAAGACAGGATTCAAATGGAGAAGTGGCTTTTATTACAAATAAAATTACTTGTTAATTGATGTTTAGTTTACTTAGACCGAATTATCCTGAATAAGCATGGATCATTGTTATAACCTCTTTTATTCTATCACTATGGTTATTTAAACAATATAATTTTAATGATCCCTACTATGATTTTTAAGTTGGATTATTCTATTGTATTTGCAGTACACTTTATTTATGGGCTTGCTTTATGTTATTAGTTTGTAAAGTATTAGAATCAACTGATTTTACTGGAGGATTTATTGCTTGGTTAATTGGTGTCCCATTTATAATTAGTATAATGTTATTAACTAAAAAATCTAAAATTGAAACACTTGTTAAATCTTAAACAAAATTTAGAAGTGGAGAGTAAATATGGAGTCATATTAGATATGTATTACAACTAATATAAAATTAAGATAAAGATAGAAATTCTTATATGTTACTAGTTGGTTATATTGAAAAACACAAAGAGACTTGTAATTATGATGATTGTCCTTTAAAAACAAAATTAAAATAAAAAAAGAAGGGAAGTTAGAATGATATTAATGAAATAATTAGAGGATTAATATAAGAATTAGATAGGATGTTTGTTTAAGGTTTAAAAAAGTTTCCAAATTCAACTTATTTAAGAATCTTTTATGCTTTATTTTTGATAGAAAGAAGAAATAATAAATAGAAAGCTTTAGAATAATTTGAACTTGCTCAATATACAAAACCAGCTCTTTATTAGGAGTTTATCATTTATAGATATAAAAAAGATATTAAGAGTAAGGGGATGAATTCTTAATAAGGAGAAGATGATGATATTGTTAATGCAATTGCATTTAAAAATTACTTATCTTTATGTGAAGAGAAAATGAAGTTTTCTGCAAATTTACATAAGGAATTTTGGATAGAATTAAAGGAAGATCAACCTGATTTAGGTAGATTAATGAATATTGGTGCTAGAATTAGTAGAGTAACTAATGAAGCAAGGGAGAATTATGAAAACATGTAGAAAATAAATTCTAATATGCCATATACTATGTAAGTATTTGGTAATTTTATGATACATGTAATGAATGATTCTAAGGGAGGAATTAATTTATTAAATAAAGCTAAATAATTGAAAGAACATTTAAGAAAAAACTAGTAAGTACATAAGGATATTTTCAATTTTGAAACTGATTAAATTCCATTCATTTATGTAAGTGCTAAAAAATCAGATACAGGTAATATATTATAAATGAATTCATTATTTACTGCTTATTTTGGATATACTAAAGAAGAAATAGTTGGAAAGAAGATAAATATTCTAATGCCTTAAAAATATGCAGAAAATCATGATAAATATATGAGTAACTTTTTTGATAATTTTGTACTTAATTTAAGATAAGAAGTAGGAATAGAAAGTGAATATTTAGATGTTGATTAAAATAGATTATTTAAACATAAAAATGGATATCTATTTCCATTAACATATTAAGTGACATTGCATTTAGATTCTCTTGTATATATTGCAACATTTAAATCTGAAGCAACATTAAAAACTTAAATTTATTTTGTTATTGACAAATTTTCTCAAATTCTAGAAATGTCTTCAAGTGCAATAACATTCTTTGAATTAGAATTGAAAAATTTGGGAGACAAAATAAAATTGAATGATTTTATACCAGATGTATTAACTAAAAATGCAAAAGATGTTTTCTCTAAAATACCAAAAAAAGATGGTTTCTATTACTTTAATTGTTAAGTTAAAGAAATCATTTTACCTTTCCACAATCCAAATGATAGTGATGAAGAATAAAAGAAAAGTGAACGTACTGGATGTTATGTAATTCGTCTTGATAAAATTGAAAAAAATGAAGCTAATCTTAAATATATGATAAAAAAAGGAGGATAACATACAGGTAGCATTAGCAATCCAGATTCAGAATTAATATTAAAAGCTCCCTCTTAATCAAAAATATAAAATTTGGCTAATATGAGTTAAGATAGTCAAGTTCCTCTAAGAAATTAAGATGTAGATCTTAATTTATTTAGTTATATGCAAGAATTATATGAAAACCCACAAGTTGATGAAATTAGAGATCTATTTAAATAATGTAATGAAGAAACAGAAAGTGTTCCTTCAATTGATTTAGCAGGTAGTATAATCACCAAAAGATATATTAATGGATAAATTGTTAGTATTAATGAAGAATAGGAATAGTTATTTTTATAAATCTTAGAAGAAGAAGAAGAGGATAATTCATTATTTAGAAATTAAGGAAATAATTTTGAAGATGAAGATGATTATAAATTATTTACTTATAATAATTCTGCTAATTTGATTTAAATTGCTTTAAGGACTCATCATAGACACCCTGAAATAACAACTTTTAAGATTTATTCATCTTTATGGATTGTATTCATATTGGCTATGACTAGTTTATAATAATACTTTTGTTCTGAATAATTCAATAATTATAGAATAGATGTAGATGTCTTATAATTAATAAATAATTAATTGATTGAAATCAATAGATTAACTTCTAGAGTTTTAGATTTGGCTGTTTATTCAGCTAATCTCTATACATATAATACTACTGAAATAGCAAATGATATATCAATATCAGCTACCTCTGTTATTGATTTTAATTCTGCTATGAATTCAATAGATTACATAAATTTCTAATCAAAATTTGAAGATGAATTATTATTTAGATTTTATACTGATAATGGTTATTATGATGATTCTTTAAGACTAGAAACTGCCTTAGTAGTTTTTTGTTCTTTAGCTTTAAATTCTTCAGTAACAAATTATTAATCTATTACTTTTAATAACATTTATTATTAAGGAGTAGTCCATAATTATTTTGATGTGCTTTATTAATAAATATGTGATATTTCAAGTTCAACGTATGATAATATCAAAGATATTATGGATAATCCATAAGTGGATTTATTGATTTTATTGTCAGCTTCAATATTTGTATCAGTTATGGCAATGATTAAATTTATATTTCTCATGTTTGCTATTAAAACTTAAAGAGAAAATATTCTATTTCTATTTTTAGATATTCCAACCTATCATTTAGATGTACTTTATAAGAAATGTGACAGATTTCTCAAAAATTATGTAAGCATAGAAGAATTATAAAATAAATAAGAATAATAAGGTTTTGAAAGTTCAGAGGATGAAAAAGAACTATAAGAAGAAAAAATTGAAGTATTAAAAGCACCAGATGAGGATGAATCTGATATCCTTTTAAGATAAACTTAAAATAGAAAAAAGATTATTAAGAAATATAGATAAAATAGGATTAAAGGAAATTAAGGCATAATTATACAGTATTTCTATATTAATAAATAGATTTTTTGTAATTTCAGTTTTTACTTTAGTTTTTACTGTTTATAATATACTTGGAAGTTAATCTTAGTAATAATAAATAAACTTCCTTTTACCTCAATATTATTAAAGTTTATACACAATAAATAATTATGGCTATTATATAAATATACAAAAATTAATGATGCTTGATTATACAATTCAAATCAAAGGCATTCCAGTTTCTGAATATGCAATAAATAATCTCACTATATTTACTGGAAATGCTGAAAAAATGAGCTCAGTATATATATTATTATGAAATTATTTAGTTTAATTTTGATATCTTATCTGAATTATAAACATTTAGAGATAAATACATCAATATTTATTATGGTAATCTTTGTGAATAAATAATGAAGACTGCTGAAATGGATTAATGTTAGCAAATTATTAATTCAAATTTATAATTAGTAATTTTATTTATAATAACATTATTTAGGGAATGTACAACACTGAATCTTATTTTTTGGAGTATTTTAGAATCAATATTCAAAATTTTTATTAAAATATTACATAGAATTCTCTTTTATTAAATGCAACTCAATTTTTTGAAATTGATAGATCATTATATAATTATGTTTATGATGCAATTACCAATATAATCACTTATGAAAGAGATCTAATTTCAAGTGGTATGGATAACATATAAAATATTCAATTGATTTTATTAATAATATTTATAGTGCTTTTAGTGTCCATTTTTTTATTTGTCTGGATTCCATTTTTGAATGGACTTAATACTTAAATTAATCAAACAATAGAAATGCTCAATATGATTCCATTGGAAGTAGTTAAAGAGAATAAAAGCATACGTAGATTTGTTAAATCTTTAATAAAATCAATGAATAAATGATTTACTTAATTTCTTTTTATTAATTCCATTAATTTTATTTTAACTCTTAACTATTCTTAAGAATGAATGATTGGCCTAAATGTGCTAATATAAATCATAAAGAATAAAAAATAATTGGATTTTGTTTTTATCCTCTGTGTAAAAGCAAATAAAGGTTATTATGCATCAATTGTTTAAAATAAACTATTCATGACGATCATAAAAATGATATAGTAGAATGTGACAGACTGTCAGAATGGATATCATAACAATAATAGATTTCATCAGACTTTATAAATATTTTGAATTCTTGTTTAGATAATATATAATAACCATTTTAGAAAATTTAAAAAATGATGGAAAATTAACTATTAGAACTTTCTGATGATGATTTTAAAAACTTAGGCTATACTAATCTTAATGATGCAATTCGAAATTAAGTTCTTTATAGAATGTTGATGGTTTAATTTCTCCAGTGCAAATTTAAGTAGATGTTTGAAAGCTTTAGTAAAATATTAAATAATTTGGGATAACTTATGACAGAGTAAAGTATGACTAATAGTATATTCTAAAAAAGATTAAATTCATTATTGAAGTAATTAATTTTCTAATCTAGTCCTTTTACAAATAATTAAGAAAAAAATTCTATTAATAAGGATTAATCAATAGGGAATTTTTTTTAAACTGAAAACAATTTATAAGGATTTAATAGCAATAATTAAACATTAGAGAATCTCTAAGAGCCTTAATAAACACCCTTAGAGTTTTTGCATCACTTTTATAATCAAATGATCAATGCTCAAATTGATTTCAAAAGAGATATATCAGTTAATGATGGTATAAACTAGTATTGAATAATTAGGAATTGAAAATTTAATTTTGGGAGACCATGAAAAGGCACAAAACATATTTAAAACTCTGTCATAATAAAAACAAGATTAGGAATCGGTAATTTGGTTAGGTTTATATAAATTCTTATCATAGCTTACTGTTAATAACTTTAAAAGAAATATCATGAAGCGATTAACACCTTAAGACCATTAGGAAGCATATAAGAGAATAGATTAAACCCATAGATTTGGTATATATCAAGTAAGTAAAATTTAATTTAGTGATGAGTGTAATCGGTTTGTAAAATTATAAAGATGCTCTATATTGTATTTAAAAATACTTGAAATTAAGACCTTAGAATTCTAATGGATGGATAAAAGCAGGTAAATTTAATTTATATTTAAGGTCTTATATTGTTAAAGAAAGGTGAGCACGATTTGGCAATTAAATATTTATAATAAGTACTTAAGTTTGACAAAAACAATATTGAAGCAAAATCCTACTTATGTATTCAATTTATAATATGAATAGGTTAGGCATACTTTTCAACAGGTTTAATGAAACAAGCTGAGAGATAATATGGAGAAATCTTATAAATTGATTAAAAAAGCAATTTTTTAAATTTTATCCAACCTTATATGAAAAATTGATTTATATAAATAAAAATTATGAAAGAATATATTGAATATTTGTAAGGTCTTTTAAAATTAAACAATATCGAGTTTTAATAGGAAGAGGATTTTGTATAAGGCAAGTTGAATCAAATTAATAATGATTTCGGATATGAACACATCAACAGATATAAAAGATAAATGATTTTATCTGAAATAGGATTGACTGGATAGAAGTAGATTCATCAAGCAAAGGTATTAATTGTAGGTGCTGGAGGCATAGGAGCACCTGCAATTTATTACTTAGCTGGAGCAGGAGTTGGAACAATAGGATTAGTTGATGGTGATAGTGTAGATGTTTCTAATTTACATCGTCAAATTATTCATAATAATGATAGATAAGGAATGAATAAGGTATATTTTAAAAAATATCATAGTGTGAATCTGCAAAAAAATAAATTAATTAGTTTAATCCTTTAGTAAATGTTATTACTTACAAACATCATTTATCATCATAAAATGCAATTGATATATTTTAAAATTATGATGTAATTTTAGATGCAACTGATAATCCTGCTACAAGATATTTAATTAATGATACAGCAATTTACTTAAATAAACCTTTAGTTTCAGGGTCATCTGTTGGTTGGGAAGGATAGATTACAGTTTATGGAATGTAGGGTCCATGTTATAGATGTTTATTTCCATAATGTCCTAAGACTGTATAGAATTGTAATGAAGCAGGGGTATTTGGAGTAATGCCTGGGTTGATTGGACTCATAGAAGCATTATAAGCAATTAAAATAATTATTGGACAGTAAAGTTTGTCATAGAAGATGATATTGATTGATGGATTAAGAGATGTCTATAAAGTAGTTAAACTCAGAGGATAATAGAAGTATTAATATTATTTAATATTTAGGGATTGTATTGCATGTTAGAAATAAATAAAAATAAATGAATATGATTATGCTTCCTTTGCATAGACTATTTGTAGTTCTTCTGTTCCTTTTAGAGGAGGATATAAAGAGATTGAGTGGAAGGATTTTCTATAGATATAAAGAAATGAGAAAGTTGTTTTATTAGATGTCAGACCAAGTTAATAGTACAACATTATTAAATTGGATGGATTCAAAAATCATCCATATCAATAAATTGAATAATTTTAAATTGAGGAGAATAAGGATAAAGATATATATATAATGTGCAGAAGAGGTAATAATTCTAGATTGGCTTGTGAATTTTTAAAGGATAAAATACCCAATATTTATAATATTATAGGTGGAATAGATTTGTATGCAAAGTTATATGATCCTAAAATGCCATTGTTGTGATTTAAATATAAATATATACAATTTATCTGATGATTTAACTAATGTATATTCAATAAGGAGCGCTAAATCCTGGAGGAGGCAATCCAGTATTTGGATCTGTATTTTTTGCTCTTCTAAATAAAAGAATATGAGGTTCAGGTCTATGGGTTTCATAGTGAGACCATCCTCTTGATTATTATACTCCTAAGGCTCTCCATTCCATTTCATTTAATAATTTACCTACCATATTCAAATTCAAATTGTACCTTTTGTAATTTTTTTGAAAATGTGTTTAGGAAGAATGACATGTCTGTATTCATAGTAGTCATCAAAGTACTTATCAGAATATTCAATTTCTTCAGGATAATGAGGCATTGGAAATATTTAAAATTTAAAATTAAAATAGTTAACTCATCAATTTTATATTAACTCTTTAGGTCTCGATTTTGTTGTTTAAAATTTATCCAATTATACTTTATTTTTATATAAAAATAATGATATTTGAATATTATTTATTCAAAATATTAAAACATATCCTTAGTATCATACTTTTTTTATAGGATATTTAGACAGAAATATTATCATTTAATGAATTTAAAGATCATTAAAAATGAATAAACAATTAAATGAGAATTATAAATAAAACCTTAAGATTCATATTATGCAAATTCTCATAATAGATATATATATTCAGTTATGTATTTTTATTAAATTTTATTATTAAACTAAAATTAGATTAGTATATCTAATAATGATTTGTATTAAGATCATCATCTATGCTTCAAATAAAGAATTTAACAGGATTTATAATGATATGAAGTCTTAATAGAAAAAATAATAAGAACTAATTTATTCTAAATAAAAAATAGTAAACGTATAAGAATTTAGATAGAAAATGGTATTTCTTTATTGATTACAAAATTTTAATTAGTAATAAATAAATTTAATGTTGATTACATATTAGTATGACTTATAGTAGGAATCATAGTAAGATTCAATACAAATAGATCATTTGGAAGACATTGAATTTAATACATCTAATCTTAAATCTTATTTAGATATATGAATTTGTTAATTAGCTTTTGATTAATGAAATCTTTATTGAACATAATAGCCCTTTCAATATTGTTTGGTTGTATATAAAATATTTGAGTTGATATTATTGTTTGATGCATTTAGATTAAAAGCTTTTGAAATATTTATATATAATAAGTTCTAAATATTAATAATTTAACGATATTGTTTATGTTGTAAAAGAAGAACTCAGACAAAGAGAATGCTTGTTAAAATAATAAGGATACATCAAAGCCACGAATTATAGGAGATTATTAATTAGGTTTGGAGTTATTTTAATCTGAGTTAAAACTCTTGGAGTTGGCACATTTGGTTTAGTTAAATTGGGTTTGCATCAAATCACTGGAGAAAAGGTAGCCATAAAGATTTTGGAAAAGGAACGAATAATAGAAGTTGCAGATGTTGAAAGAGTTTCAAGGGAAATACATATTTTAAAATTGATTCGACATAGACATGTAATTTAATTATATGAAGTAATATTAATATTTAAAGTAGATTATAGAAACAAAGAAACACATCTTTTTAGTAATGGAATTTTGTGATAATGGTGAACTCTTTGATTATATTGTAAAGAATGAAAAGTAAATAGTCAAAGATAATTTCTTAGATTAAATGAAATAGAAGCTTGTCGCATATTCTAAGAACTTATATCAGGCATAGAATATATTCACAAATTGAATATAGTTCATAGAGATTTGAAACCAGAAAATTTACTATTAGATCATTAGAATTAAATTAAGATAGTAGATTTTGGACTATCAAACACTTATAAATAAGGCGAGTTGTTAAAAACAGCTTGTGGAAGTCCTTGTTATGCTGCTCCAGAAATGATAGCTGGTCATAGATACTAAAGTATCTTAGTTGACATATGGTCATGTGGTGTTATTTTATTTGCTACTATTTGTGGATAATTACCGTTTGAAGATAAGCACACTAGCGATTTATATAAGAAAATACTAGGTGGTTAATATACAATACCTTCTCATGTATCATAAGATGGTTAATAATTTCTTAAAGGATTACTAAACACAGATCCTTCCAAACGTTTTAATCTATAATAAATAAAAGAACATCCTTGGTTTAAGCTATATAAGAGAATTTAGTCTATTCCTTAAGGAATTATTATAGGATATAGCAGAATTCCAATTGATGATGCAATTGTTGATTAATTAGCAACAAAAGGATTTAGTTCAGATTATATAAAGAAATGTCTAGATGCTAATAAACACAATAATTTAACTACAGCTTATTTTCTTATTTTAAAGAAACATCTCATGAATGGTGGATAATCAGTTGCCGATATTAATTCAATTAATTTTAATGAAAAATTATTAGAACCTGCAACTCGTCCTTAGAAGCGTAGACTTTATATTTATTTTTAGCACCTATCAGTTCTCTTCTTGATAGTTCAATGATGAAAACTCTTACACACAATAGATCTGGCTCATGTTAACCAAATAAAAAATCCCATACTCAAACTAGAGGACTTTCTATTCCTACTGCTGAAGATGCTAAATCTATCTATAATGGATCTAAAAACTATTAAACTTCATCATTATCATTTGAAGTATAATAATTAAAATAATACAATAAGGATTAATCATTCCTCATAGAAAGAAATAAATCTTAATCATTTTAACAGACTAATAATAAAAAGATGACAACTGATATGTAATTAAATGATACTCTAAATAAAACTACATATTTGGCCACTTCTAAAAGATCATCTAATACAACCACTGTATCTCCAGCACATAAGAACATATTACTATAGTATTTAAGTATAATAATACCTTATTAATTATAGAAACCCAACTCAATACAAATTACTAAAATTAAAATCTTACCCTTAATTATTCTTAACAAGACAATAACAAAAATTGTACTCCAACTGCTCTTAGGGGTAGTTCATAACCGAAAATACCATAAAATAGTAAAACAACTAAAAATCAAAAGTCTTCTTATTAAAATTTTGATACCTCTTATGTTTAGGATAAAAAAAAGGAAAATAAACCAATTAATTTAGTGGATACTACTAATATTGATTGTAAAAAAAGATCATTACATATAGATGGGGTATAATATTCTAATTTAAACATTTAGGATCTTTCTATGCCAGCCAGCACAAAACCTTAATCAATGCCATATTAACTTTGGTTAAAAATAAATAGTAGAAAAGGATCAAGAGATCATAGTGGAGGAGGTTAAAAAACTAAAAAAGCAAATAGTAATACTACAAAGGCTAATATTAATTAAAGCTTCAATTTTGACAAAAGAGTTTGATTTTTTACTTTGAATAATTAATTCTATTTATAAATAGTAAATTTATTATTTAAATAATCTTAATAAACTATAAATTAATATAACTTTTATCAAAACCTACTTGTAATAAATGTAGAATCTAGTTTACCACTATTATAATTATTAATTTTGAATGGACTACTTTATCTTCCTTTATAAACTTAATGTTCTCCTGATGGCTTACCTTCAATATATTCTCCAACTTCTCTATTACCATCAGCATATATAAAAACACCTTTACCATCCCTTTTATCATTTTTGTACTCTCCTTCATATATATTCCCATTAGCAAATTTATAAACTCCATGTCCTTCCCTTTTATTATTGACAAAACTGCCAATATATGAATTACCATTTGCAAACATATATTAACCTTTACCGTTGAAAAGTTGATTACTCCATTCTCCTTAATAACAATCTCCATTAGCAAATTTCTTTTTTCCCTTACCTTCAATTTTATCATTAACAAAATCTCCAACATAACTAAAAATTTAATTAGATTAATACACATTTCCATTAGCAAACTTATATCTTCCTTGTCCTTCTCTTTTATCATTTCTGAACTATCCTTCATAGATATCTCCATTAGAATATTTTTAAATTCCAAACCCTTCTCTTTTTTCATTAATAAATGAACCTTCATAAAATTCTCCATTAACTTATTCATACTTACCCTTACCATCTCTTTGTCCATTTTTAAATTCTCCTTTATATCTTAGATAAAATATAAGTATACTTATCACCATTCGCAAATGTAAATTCACCATATCCATGTATAATGTTATTTTTGAATTCTCCTTAATAAAAATTTCCATTTTCATATCTTAGAATGCCTTTTCCTTCTTTATCTCCATTAACAAAATCTCCTTCATAAATATCCCCATTATTATACGTGTACTTCCCTTTTCCATAAATGGAATGATTTCTCCAATCTCCTTCATATTAATCACCATTTGCAAATTTCATTGAACCTTATCCATCAATAGTATTATTTTTTAGATCTCCTTCATAACTAAATAGATTTATTTCTTATTTACATATTTCCATAACTAAATCTATAAGTACCTCTTCCTTAGATTCTACTTCTTCTAAATTAACCTTAAACTGTATCTCCATTAAATGCAATACATTTGCCGTCTCCTTCTAGCATATCATCTTTAAAACAACCTTACATTATCTTTTTCTATCCATTTTCCTCGAATGTGTACTAACCCCAAATTATATGATTATGTTTCCAATAACCTTACCATATTGCTTAATCTCTTATACAAACTCCAAATCCATGTTTCATTTATTATAATACTTCTCCAAAGTATATCCCATCTTATTCATTCAATTTATCAACTTCTTTGCTCCTTAAAAATAGATACTCAACTGGTGGTTTATGTATTTAATTTTATAAAAAGAACTGTACCATTGTTTGATCACGAACATTTTCTTCTAACATGCATTTCAAACTAGATAATCCTAAAACTTATTCAAAATGTTTTCCTGCTTCTTTAATTTATGGTAGATTCCATCTCTACTCTAGGAGATTAATAATTTCATTTAGATTTTAAACTTTCTCATAATCAAAGAATGTTAGTAGTTTTTCATTAATAATTTTGAATCCTCCATTGTATAAAGTATTGTATGATTATTCTAATTGTTCAACATATTCAAGTAAGGTTGTAATATCTTTAATGAAGTACTATTCTAATTTCTCTATCAAATAGAGACTATATAAGTTGGATCGATTACAGTTGTTGTTTTTCTTATTGAAAATTAACAATCTTTTAAGCAATTTGATCTCTGGGATTGGTTTCACAAAATAATTTATAAGAGTATTGACATTTTTCAATTAAGTCATCTTTTTGATTTGAGAAGTACTCACTTGGAGATGAAAGGAATGACTATTGAATATCATCACATTCTGTATTAAGTTTCACAATTGATTAATCCATTATAAAATAAATAATCAAGATATTTCCTTAAGATTAAAGAATTGATAAAAATGGAAATTGAAATTAATTATTCATATACCAATAATTATTATAAATATATAAGATTAAAATAAAGAAAAGGAAAGTAAAATAGAAAAAATGAAAGGGAAGTTTAATTGATTATAAAACCAATATATTAAAATTTATTAAATATTCTTAATATACTGACAAAAAGGAACATAAGTTGCTCATTTTTCAACTTTTCCAAGCCATAAAGCCAAAAGTGACTTTCCTTTAACTGCAATAATCTTAAATCTGACCCCTGGAATATCACCGACTGCATGTCCCTTTCTTCCGAATCCAGCTACTGTGACTTCATCATTTTCATTTAAAAAGTTTAAACAACCATCTTTAGGAACGAAGGCTGATATTTTTTTACCATTCTTTTTCAATAATACTCTAACACACTTTCTGACAGCAGAGTTTGGTTATTTAGATTCACTAGATGAACAATATAAAAGTATATTTACACTCCAATTTTTTCAACAACCAAACCTTTAGCATGTGATGCACCCATGAATGGATTCTTATATCTTGATCCAATCATAGCTTTATTATATTCTTTATCAGCCCATCTATTAACTCTTCTGTGATCTTTGAGCTTTCTTCCTGCTCTCATACCTCTGGGTTTACCTACTCCCATGATTAAAAGATTTTAATTAAATTATTTAAATTAATTACAATCTTCATTTGATTTTAATAATAATAAACATAATATGTAAAACTCAACAATCATAAATGTCATCCTTCTTCTTTTAGATTTTTGGTTATGATTAAAATGACTATTGTTATTATGGTCTTTGTTGATTAGTATAATTATTATTTGTTCTTGTTTCATAATTTGGATTTTAAAAATCTACTCTCATTGGACCAAATACAACAGATGGAAAATTTTTAAAGAAGTTATTTGTAAAATTTTCAAACATTTATCCAATTTCTTCATCCATTTAATTAAAATCAAATTCTGGATTATTCTAATTGTAATGTTAATTTCTTCTTGTATAATTTTAAGATATAGGAATTCTTTCTTCATATTCTTTTGTTTCATCATTCCTCTATCCATTAATAGTTGAACTTTCCTTTACAATATTTTTACATATCATAAAATTTTAATCTTAAGGATCAGGTCTGCATTATCTTGTTGTAGTTGATGATTTAAATGTTGAATTAACATTTGAACTAAAATTTTTATTTGCATCATCTTCATCATTGTTTCCATTCCACCAACCCATTTAAAATATTTAATTTGCTGTTTAATAAATTATTTATGAAGATTATAGTATATTTATATATATATACAAATATTCATACTTAAAATTTCTGATTCTTTATTTCTAGAAATTTAAATATATATATATATATTTTATATAATCAATCTCTATAAGTCACAATCGAATAAGTAGGATAAAATCTACTTTTTCTTTTAGTTTTAGGATTTATAGAGTGGGATCTCAATTTTGGTAATCTTAGTAAGTCTTGTTTAATAGATTCTTAATCAATAAAACTTTAATTTGTTGGTGTTATCTGTTAAGTTTAATTTGTATCATTTGAGGCTAATTTAATATAACTATCACAATCCAATTATTATAAATAACCTACCAAATTTATATTGTTTAACTTAACTATATTTTTGTACTTTTTAGGTATTTTTTAAGATACTGAACTTGTATCATACTATTTAGATCTTTAAGATTACAATCTTATAGATTATTCTTATATTTATATAGGTTTTAAACTCAATCTAACTCCAGGTTATAATTTAATCTCTTATACTTATTCTTCTTCAAATTCTAATATGGTTTCAATATTTTCAACTTATCTTCTTTTTTATTTAACTTATTCTATTAACTTGGGTTAAGAAATTATTGAATTATTATCAGTTAATGGAATTTCATATGGTAAGGTAGTAATAACATCCTTCTTTACTTAATTATTGGATCTAGCAAGTGGATTACAATTATAATCATAAGTATATTCTTTAGAACCAATCTTCATAATCAGTTGATTATGCAACTCTTTAACTTATCTCTTTTCTCTTGATTATTGTCTCAATTTTTATTCTTTGTATTGTTTTTCTAGACACTTTTATTCCATAATTCTTCTTTCATCAGGATATTCTTCAATATATTCTTTTGTCTTTTATCTTATTAATTAAGGTTCATAATCCTCCCATAATTGAGTGGGCATCATAAAAATATGTTTTGGAGGTTCTTCCACTCTAGGAGTTATTTAACCCTTAGGAGGTTATATATATTTGAGATTATAAGCTCGATGTCGTTCTTTTGAAACATTTTTAGGTTCAGCATCTTCTGATTCAAAATAGTTTAATAATGATGGATCAAAATTAACATGCTTTAACAATTTAAAAGCTAGATCTAATGAATAAGTGGCACTTAAGTCAATTTCTAACTTCTAAACAATCTTATCTTCAACTCCTATCAAAATTTGGTTTATAACATAAGGAATTATTGTTTCAATAATTTCTAAATATTCCATTTTAATTATGTTTGTAAGAGCACCTGCTAAGATTATCATTTCAGGTGAACATTCTGTTGTGTATGGTCATAAAGCATTATGTGCAGCTATCAACAAATACACTAAATTAAAAATATACTCAAACAAAACTAATTCAATAGAGATTAGATGGGGGAATGATTGGCATGAAGTCTTAGATCTAAATTAAATTAATACAAATTCTTAATTAGCATAAATTGCTCACATTCTAAAAATCAAACCATCTATTATAGAAGTAGAATCTGAATTACCAATTAGTTCTGGATTAGGATCATCAGCATCTTTTGCTGTTGCATTATCTAGAGTTACAAATGCATCTATTGAAAAAGCAATTGAAATTGAGAATATATTTCATGGTAAGAGAGGAAGTGGATTAGATGTATAAGTAACCCATTATGGTGGCATATGCATATTTTAGATAGGAAAACCAATTTAGTAAGTTAATATTCCTATTCAAAATATATTATTAATTGATTCTGGAGATAGAAAATAAAAAGGTACTGAAGGATCAATTACAAAGGTCAAAAATTGTATTGAGTAAAAAGATGGAAAATAAATTTTAAATAGAATTTCAGAAGTAACTGAATAAATAATTAAAGAAGGTATTGTGAAAGAATTGATATATGAAAATCATGATCTTTTAAATAGATTAGGTATTTGCACTGATAAAATAAATGATATAATTGTATATATTTCGATAAAGTATAGAGAATATGTAAAACTGAAAATATTCCAGCTAAAATGACTGGGGCTGGAGATGGAGGATTTTGTATTGCATTCCCAAAGGATGAATAATAATCTGATTTTTTGAAATTAAAACTACAAAATTACAAAACATTTAAAGCAACCATCGATTAAGAGGGATGTAAAATAATTTGAGCAATTATTTCATTTTGTTATTAATATTGATTTACTTATATCAATCAAATTATTTTATCCTCTAAATATAATTCTTAGAATTTTCTATTTATCTAAATTTCCCTATTATATATATATTAAAGTTATAGATTTATGAATATGAAGAAGTGGATTTATATATACAAATATTTAAAATTTCATGTTTTTAACTATATGCCTACATTTATTAATTATATTAATAAAATTAAAATGCAGATTAATATTAAAAGTGATGTTCTGCAGCCTATACCTATTAAGAGAAAGATAATAGGGTTGCCATAAAAAAATATAGAATTCAATGATCCTTTAAATTTAATATGGAAAGCTGCTTCTGCTCCAGCTACTTTAGAACAGATTGAAACAATTAAAAAAATAAGTAAGGGGAGGTAGTTTTGCAAAAACCCTTTCGTGTTAATTGACTAGCCAATTCTTGAAAATTCTAAATCTATTCAGGAATTACTAGATGAAATTGAATGACACCCATTTATATATATATATATATATTGTCACACAACATATTGTAGTTTATCTATTTATCATTGATATTAGAGTTCCTACTTTAGAATGTCATTAATATTAAATTAAAAGTCTCTTAAAAACGGATGTTGCAAACATTGGCTAGCTGTGATTCGTAAAACTGGATCAAATTCTAGTAACTTCTTTAGTAAATCTACGAAGTCTTCCATAGTGGCCATCTCTAATTATAAGTTTCTTACCAATTTGAACCTTGGATTGTTCTTAAACTTGATTTATTGAATTCCAAATACAACTCTTAAATATTAGTTATATTTTATATTCCAGGATCATGTAGATTTAGTGTTTATTCATTCTCATATTTTTTCAAATGTTTAAGTACATAATTTTAGTTCTCCTTAATAAAATAATCATTAAATTTTGGACTATTTTAGATTAGTTCTTAGTTGGTACTAATTTTAGTGATAAATTATAAAATACATAGTAATTAATCCAAGAATTTTTGATAATTAATCAAAGGATGATGTTCCTTAAAATAAAGGATATCCTAGATATAACTAGGCTGCCACACATCCTACTGACCACATATCTATAGCACAAGTCTTTTTATAACCTAGAATAATCTAAATAATTAATATAATTAGACATATACCTCAGGTGCTCTATAATACAAACTTTAAATGTAATAATATAAATTAACATTTAATTCAGATGCAGATCCAAAATCAATTATCTAAATTTATTTAGCTGTATTACTATAATAATAATTAAAAGTTACTCAGTGAATAAAATGTTTTCTGGTTTTATATCACAATGAACCCAATTTAATGAATGTAAGAATTCTAATCCTGATATTAATTATTTTAAAATATTTTTGATCATATGTAATGAAAGACCCTGATATTTAGTTTCTTGTAATAATTCTTCTAAATTGAATCCTAATAATGGAAAAACTATGCAAACGTGATTTTTAAAAAGAAAATAATCAATCAATTTAATTATGTATTCATGCTCTTATTTTTTATTAAGGAATCTAATCAATTTAATTTCTTTCATGGCTTATATATTGTATGCATTAATATTTTTTATTATTTTGATAGCAAAATTTGAATTATTCTTCACACATCTATAAACACTTCCAAAAGTACCAACACCTAACAATTCTTTAGCAATATATTAATTGCCTGTCTTTTCATTTATTATTACATCATCCAATCTTATAATTAAATCATAATTTTCATTATCTAATCCATCATTGTATACAGCTACGTTTATCTCATTTAATACCTGCATTTGGCTGAGTAAGAGTTCTAGGAATCACAGAAATTGTTTAAGTGAACTATAACAACTATCTAATTTTTGTTGTGACAAGATGAATTGGTTATTTATCTCTTTACAATTGTTTTGTTTTTAGACTCTCATTTTAACAATCATATAATTAAAAGTGAGTCTTTTAAATACCAAATTAAGAAAAGCTAAGGGTAAGGTTAAACATAAAAATCTTTATAATTTTATTAATTCAGAAAGATGTTAGGGTATATAAATGATTGATTTTTATCTCCTTAATCTTGTATTAAGTTATAAAGATCTAAATTGGAATAACAATTAAAAATTATCCATTTATTTTATATAGATGTGCAACCCCTTACATAAATTTACATATTTTCATAATAAAATTGTTTTAAAACTATATACTCATTTTAAATAAAATACTCATCAAAAAAATTGTAGATTTACTAAGTTTATAATGTTCTTAATTTTACTTAAACATGATAATATTATGTATATAAAATAATTAATGTTAATACTTTTCTTAGTTTATGTTTAAGGATAATTTACATCGAAATTACACTTTCATTATCCTAATACTGATAAATCCATTGCAGTATTTACAATCACTAATAAAAATTAAATTGATTTCACTAATACTACTAAACCAATTTAATTATTTCAAAAATCACTTTTAGAAAATTTACACATTGATGTCAAACTCAAAGAATATATATCAGTTCCACTTAAGTTATGATAACTAAATGCCCCTTAATATGATGTTGTTATTATTACAAATAAAGAGGCTTATTAATTAATTACTATAAATTATGTTATAGAAATTTTTAGAATTGCAAAATATAATATGATCTATGATAAGGAATATTAGTATAAATTTGTTGGAAATTAATCACACTTTTCCTTTATGGTATTTGATGATGATAAAATTTAAGAAGGTAAAGTACTTTTAACATTAATATAATAGATTCAATTCTAAAATATTTTAGATGTAATGGTAAGTAAGGACTTGCTTTGATTATTGATCTTAATACAATATTTAGATCAACATACTTATCTCTCTAAGCTAAATTTTAGATCTGATGAATTAACTAAATTAGCATCTTTAAAAAATTGTACTTATTGTGAAATATGACACTTAATATATTTCTAAAATTTTGAATTTAGATCCTAATTCATCTTATCATTGATGAAATAATTTAATATTCTATAAGAGAAGTAACATTTAATTTAAAATCAGCCAAATAATTAAGAATTGGATAATTAAAAGCAAAGTATAAAATGATACACATATGATTAATTACTAAAAGTATTTACATATAATATGAAATTTAGAAATAATTAAAAAATTTTGTACTGAACCTTGATTTGCTTTTGATTCCTATTTCCATCAATAAGTAACAGCAAATTAAGATGGAATGATTACTGTATTACTATATTTTCCATATGAACTTATACCTATTTATCATAATTAGAAACAAATTTAGAAAGTTAAAAATAATTAATTTGGGAAGATGAAACTAAAAAATTATTATTACTGCTAAATTGAAGTTTATATTAAATTTCATAAAAATTGGAAAGGTTTGAAAATATCCAAAAAGGATAGGGCATTGTAAAAAATTAATTTAATTATAATAGATTACATTCCCAGTTATTTTCAATTATAAATTATATTTAACATCATATTAAGTAACAATATAACCATATCCAGATTTTTCTATAGAGTTTTAAACCTTATCATTGGCAATAGGATATTTTTACTTTTGATTTTATGTATGGCAGTTGATAAATTCATTTTAAATAAACTAGAAAAAGGATTATTGGCTTAAAGACTAATAAGAAATAATATTTTCATTAAGATCATTTTGATTTTTTTTAATTTGTGTTGAGATATATTTTATTTCGTAAATTTAATTGAACTTGATTATTAGATGATATATATATATAAAAATAATAATATAAGTAAAAATACTAAAAGTGAAATGATTAGATGAAAATAGAGAGTGATTGTAGAGTGTATGCATAAACTATAATACTGTTTAAAAATCATAAATCGTCATGATACATAGAACTTATTGATTGCTATTATTATTCTAATTCTAATTTTTATTATTCTCTTTTGGTTGAATATTCTTTGAATTCAATTACTTTATCTAAATAACAATATGATTATTTTAATATACCTCCATTTGAATCATAATCTAGAAAGAATTAAGCAACAAAATCAGCTGTATTATATGGGTTCTAAGATGGAAATTATGCTCTTAATTCATCATATTTAAGGACTTTATCGCCATCTTAATCAAACATCAAGAAATCAGCTTCATATGGTTGTAATCCAAGTACTATTCCTAATAGTAATAACACAATCACACGTCTCACCATTTAATTTAATTATTAATACTATTCGTTATTCAAGAATTGAGTTCTTTTTCATACATATTTTAAAAAAATATGACTAAAATAAACATAATCTATACAATATCACTCAATTTTTTTAAGAAATAAATAATAACTCAATAAATAACTGTACTTGGATCCCAACAAGTATGATAATTTTGATTAAGATTGTCAATAACATTCATATCATTTTCACAAATTTCAAAATCAAAAATCTCAATATTTTCTTTGATGTATTTCGGAGTCTTTGATTTTGGTAAAATAATGAATCCTTTTTGTACAGCCCATCTTAAACTTATTTATGCAACACTTTTATTGTATTTCTTTGAAAGCTCAATCATTTTTTCATTCTATATTAATTTTGGATCATTTCTAGCAATAGGAGAATAAGCTTCTATCAAAATGCCTAATTATATATTACTAAATATTACCTTGTTATTAACAATATTAAACAGTAGCTTAATCCCAACATAAGGGATGCACTTCTATTTAATTGATAACAGGTTTAATTTTACAATGTTACATAAGATGTTCAAGATGATGTTTTAAGAAATTGCTGACTCCTATATTTTTAATCAATCCTTCTTAAAATAATTATTCTAAAGCTTTATAAGTTTAAAGTCTAACAGTGGCATTTTCAGGACTATTAGGTTTATTACCTGAAGAACCCGGCCAATGAATTAATAATAAATCAAGGTATGTTGTATCTAAATCTTATAAAATCTTTTTGCAAGCTTTAATAGTATTCTCATATCCTTGTTCTTATGGGGCAATCTTAGAAGTGATGAAAATGTCTTCTCTTTTAGGAACTCTAATATCCTTACCATTTCTATAACAAGAAGCAGAATCTATGTGAGTATATCCTCTAAGAATAATTATTTATTAATATGATTACATTTGTAAAGCATATTTGATTCCATCCACTAATTCATTTCCTTTACATTAGTAAGTACCATAACCTATTTATGGGATTTTATTGCCATTATTCAAAGTTAAAAGAGGAATAATAATTTTTTACATTTTATTTAAATAATTCATATTCTAAAGCCATCAAAAAAAGAATGTGCCATAGCCTCTTCTGCTGTAAGTCTTAATTTATGATCATAAACTAACAATTTACTTATTAGATCCAAACCTTCTTTTGTAACTAAATGAGCATTCTCTGGATCTATATAAATTGTAAAAGGTTTTTATGAATGACTGATAAAAATAGATATATAATCTTTACATAGGAGGATCAGGATAGATAAGATCATATTTATCCAAATATTTAAGGAGATCTTCAGTACCCAAAACTGTAACAATTTTATCTAACTAATCATAAACATCTTTGCCTTTGAATAAAGGTTATTTTTGAAAAATCATGCTTGCTAATGTACAACCAAAGGCCCACATATCAACACTGTAATCATATTATTTATTATTCACTAATAATTCAGGAGCTTTGTAATAACGAGTTCCTACTCTAGTAGTATATCTCTTTTTTGGATGGTAGAACTCTCCTAAACCCCAATCAATTAGATAGAGTGTATCATCATCTTTTATTATAATGTTAGCCATTTTGACATCTCTATGCATGACTCCTTTACTATGTACTTAATTAAGAGCCTTTTAAGTATTGTAAATACTTTTAGCAATTAGTACATGTATAATTTTATCTTTGGTAATTCTAGTTTTCCAAATAAATGAAGTAAATTCACACTACTCAAATATTAATATATAAAAGTGGCATTCTGTTTCTTATTTTAATTTCTAATAGCATCAATCAATTATAATGTATTTGTTGTTCCTTTTATAGCTTTCAATACTTAAATTTCTCTGTTAATTGCTTACCATTTCATAGGTTTTAGTTCTTTCATTACTACTATCTCACCATCATCTCGAAGTCCAAGGAAAACTTAAGAAAAGGCTCCTTATCCTATTTTATCATATTTTGTATATCTTTTGATATCTCCATCTTTGTAATATAAATATCTTGGGTCAACATCTTTTAAACGCTTATTGAAATTGGCATTCCAATAGACTTTAGATACATATAAATGATTCTAATTCTTTTATTTTATATTACATTGTAATATTCATCATCATAATAGAATATATTCTCAAAATGATTCTAATGAGGCTTAGTGCTTAGTTTACACTATCCTAAAATTGTTAACATCATCAATATTAAATGCATATTAAAACGATAATTTATATTATAATATAAATGTCATATTAATTTGGGGGTAGTCAATTGTAACAATAAAATGTACCTAATGCCAAATACAAAACTATGCTATGTCGTCATTACTAAGGTAAAACTACATATTAATATAAAGCTACTAAATAATGTGCCATTGGTAACAAATGTTAATTTGCTCATGGAACTTAAGAATAAAGATAAATTAATGGTATTCAATAATATCTTATTCTTTATAAGATCCCTTACCTGCTTCTGCATTATCAGCTATGGCTACCGTTATTGAATAACCACAAAATAAACCTCAACCTCCCATATTTTAAAGTATAGCTTAAATTATTAATATTTTGTTCCTTGCAAATACCATGCCTAAAATTATTGTAAAAATGGCTAAAATTGTTAATATATTCACGGTATTTCTAATCTTTATTTTAGACTCCGATACAATTTAATAGTAACCAATACCATTTACATAATAATCATAGTTGCCCTCACCTCCTCCTTAAGTGAAGCAAGAAGATCCTATGCAATTAGTTTTTTAGCACATTTCATTTGAGATGCAATACATATTTCCATAAGATGTGAGATTTACAAATAAAATATAGGATATTATATAAAAATTAAAGATAGCCTAGGAATAGGCAAGAGTTGGTAATCTTATCGCTGTTGCTGAGTGTATAAAAAGTATTATTCATGCTCCAGAACGTACTTAAGAAGAAATACTTAAATATACAAATCTCTATAACTAGGCAGTCACATATTTTAATTAGATCTCATAAGCAAATTGAATTGAATATTTAAAATAATTATAATCATTAATAGACAATTATATCTAAACTCTGAATTCATTTTATAAATTCAATTTTTATTTATATAAATAAAAAAATTAGAGTTTTCAAATAACATAATTTAGTAGAATTTTTTTTTTTAAATAAAAAAAAGAATCTAAATAAAATTAAAAAGTTGTATAATTTTATAGTCATTACTATATTAAAGACAATTGATTATGATAAATATAATAATGAATAGTTTAATAAATTCTTAGAAGTTAAGAGTTTGAATGTTATGTTTGCTTGAAAAATCAATTTTAAATTTTAATATTAAAAATGTCAATTTTGAGTGAGCATACTATTACACTAAAAAATGAAACTATTACAATGATGTCTATCTCACACAGTGCTATAAATCCATCTATAGCAATATGTACAACATCAAGAGTGATACTATTTAATGATTAAGGGGAAAAATTAGATTATGATTTTACTCATAATTAAAAACCTACTGCAATAGTATGGCATCCTATTCAACCACAATTAACAATAGGATGGCAGAATGGTAGATTTTACAATATATAATTTAGGTCTAATAACATTATGGTCAGAGGATACACGTACATCAAAGGAGGAATCAGCTGTGCATAAAGGAGAAATTAATTTAATTCAATATAATACAAATGGATCTAGAATGGTTAGTGCAGATATAAATGGTCTAGTAGTTGTATGGAGAGGAATAACACCAATGTGCACTTATCAAAAAGAAGGTATATAAACTATTTGCATATTTGCTGAATTAAATAATATTATCAAAGCTTAAAATTTATTCCTTTTTGGTGGTAAGTCAGGATTAGTATATTTGGCTGATGATAGTAAATATTGTTAAGAGATTATTAAAGTTGTAGGTAGTATTAAATGTATGATGATATATGAGAAATATAATTCAGCTATTATAATCTCAAATACTCTATTATTAGTTTAATTTAAAATAAGTACAAGTGAAAAGATATAACCAGACAAAAAAGTTAAATTATCAATAGCAGGAGATTCAGAATCATTATAATCAATTTGGATTGGTTAATGTTTAATAGCAATTTCATCAAATGAAAATATGATTAGAATGTTTTAGTTAGAAGCTGATGAAAATTATGTTATTACTTTACATGAATATTAAGAATTATATCCAAAAGATAAGATATTAAATGATAAAATAACATGTATTCAATATAGCAAGAAATCTAAGAATTTGATTGCAGGAACTAAAGATGGTAAATTACTATTTTGGAAAAACTTTGCATCAACAGATGAATCTCCTGTTGAAAGTGAATAGTGGAAAACATTCAAAATTATTAATCATAATAAACCTATCAATGAAATTGTTATTGGTAAAAATAGTGGATTAATTGCTGCAAGATCTTCAGATTCTGTTAGAATAGTTTAAGAAACTTTAGTTCATGGAAAAATACAAGATACTGTTAGAATTTTATAAGTAGAGTTTAATAAAATTTTGATCTATTTAAAAAATGATTAATAAAATTAAGATAAAGGAGTTTGGCCTATGTTTTTATGGGATAGCAAATATCCTATTAAATCTATTGATTGTACTCAATAATATCTTTTGATTTAAAGTGCAAATAAGATTGAAATTAGTGAATTTACAAGTAATATACTAATAAATTTATTTAGATAATTCTTAAATTTTATCAAAATCGTCTTTTGATAAGAAATGTGTAAAAGCTGCACTATTTTAAGAAAATCTTATATTATTTCATGAATATAAGTTTGAAGTAACAAACTTTAAAGGAGTTTAAAAATATTTTGTTGATTTTTCAGAAAGTGATGGAGCTATAGCAAATTATGAATTTAACAATAAAACTATGGTTATATGGACACATAATAATTATTTTAGATTATATGATTTTAGTAGAAGGGAAGCATAATTATAAGGATTTAATTGCAAATTTGAAAATGACAAAGGTTCTTTAGGTAAAATTAAATAATGTGCTGTTAATTGTGATGGAATCAATGTTGCCATTATAGCAGATAATCATGGAAATCAAAATGATTAATTTTTTGTTTACAATTCAGAAAATAATAACTTTTAATCATTTGAATTGCCTAAATATAGAAAAGCTATTTAAATTATGTGGGATTATTCAGATCCAAGATTATTTGGTGTAACTACTATTTGCACTAAAATTAAAACAAATAGTGAAAATGATGTTGAAGAAGAATAAACTGATTTTAGAGCTAAAAAGTTTTTCACTTTTTTCTTCAATCCATAATTAGGTATTAAAGAATAAGATTGTTATATACTTGATGAAAAATAAGAGGGAGTTTTGTCTATTCGTATTCCATACATTTATGTTATTTAGATAAAAGAAATTCTTGTTAATGATAGTTAAAAACAATAACAATCAACTCAAAATTAAGATAATCTTAAAAATGATAGTAAAGTTGTATAGAGAAAAGAACAATCATATAGAATTTAAGATATCCTTATGAATGATTTTATTGGTTTAGAAAGAGCAGATGAACCTACTAAAAGAGCAGTTATTAATTTCTCATATCATTTATCTTGTGGTAATTTGGATGAGGCCTATAAATCTGTAAAGGCTATTCAAAATCCAACTGTATGGGAAAAAATGGCTTAGATGAGTGTTAAAACCAGAAGGTTGGATGTTGCTGAAATCTGTATAGGAAATATGAGATTTGCAAGGGGTGCTAAAGCAATAAGAGAAACAAAGAAAGAACCAGAATTTGAAGCTTAATTAGCTATGGTAGCTATATAATTAAATATGATCTCAGAAGCTGAAAAATTATATTATTAATGTAAAAGATATGACTTACTTAATAAATTATATTAGGCATAAGGATAATGGGAAAAGGCAGTAGAAATAGCAGAGAAACATGATAGAATTAATCTATTATCAACTTATTACAAATTAGCCAAACAATATGAAATTTCTAAAGAATGGGATAAAGCAATCTAATATTATGAAAAATCTGGGAATGCATTAAAAGAAGTACCTAGGATGTTTTATGAAGCTGATGAATTATAATATTTGGAAGGATATGTCTTATAAAAGAAAAACCCTGTACTTTAGAAATGGTGGGGTAATCATTTAGAGTCAGAAGAAAAATATGAAGAAGCAATGAAATTTTACATAGAAGCAAATGATGCTTTAGGAATTATTAGATTATTATTACATTAAGATAATTTAAGACATGCCAAAGAGATTTGTAATGAAAAGAATGATCCAGCAGCTCATTATTACTTAGCTAAATATCTAGAAGCTAAAAACATTATACCAGAAGCTATTTAATTTTATACTAAAGCTTAATATTATAGTGAAGCTATAAGATTGGCAAAGGAAGCCAATTTAATTTCAGATGTGACAGCAATATCATTATAAGCACCTTAATTAATTATGATATAATCAGCCATCTATTTTGAATAAAAGAAAATTATAGATAAAGCAGTTTTACTTTATATGAGAGGAGGATAATTATAAAAAGCATTATATTTAGCTTAAAAAGAAAAATTGACTGATTATGTTAAAAAAATTAATTAAGAAATCTCACTTAAAAAATAAGAAACAGTAGATTTAACTTTTACTAATACTGGTTCATTGAAAGAAACACCATCATAATAAAAATTAGCCAATTAATAATAATCATAATAGCAATCTATTTAATCAAAAGATAAAACACCACCTCCAGGATCATTATAAGATTTGATAAATAAAAAATAATTTGATAAGGTCTTAGAGACTTGTGATAATTAGGGTTTATAAATAACTGATGATCTTGTTAAATAAATGTTAGATGGTCTTGATGATAAAAGAAAAAAAGAGGTATAATTACTTATTGCGGAAAAATCAAAAAAAATGGGCAATTTTGAATAAGCTTCTAAAATGTATATATAGATGGGAGAAAGGGTTAAAGCAATGAAGGCACTTTGTAAATTAGGTGATGTTGAAAAAATTATTGCTTTTGCAAATAATGCTAGAATGGCTGAAATTTTTATTCTAGCAGGTAATTATCTTTAAACTGGTGATTGGCATAAAACACCTGATATTATGAAACATATTATATAATTCTATAACAAAGCCAAAGCATTTGATCATTTGGCAAATTTCTTTGAAGCCTGTTCTTCTGTTGAAATTGATGAATATAGAGATTATGATAAGGCTTGTGCTGCATTGAAAGAAGCAATTAAATATTCAGAAAAATCAACTAACCAATAAAAAACATAACAATTATAATAAAAATTGAAATTGATATCTGAATTTATTTAAGCAAAATAGAAGTCACCATAAGAGATGATATAACTCTATTATAAGTTATTAAATGATGTATATATTAATAATAATTTTTAGAGTAATATAGAATATGCAGTAAGATAAGGAGATATTTTTGCTGAATTAATTGAATACTATTATGCTCAAGGTCAATATGAAAAGGCTTATGAAGAAATGTAGAAAATGTAGAAGAAATCTATTGTACTCAATCCTTATTTAGATTAGGAATTAGTAATATTTCTACTTATTTTAGATATAAAAAGTTATGAATTATATGAAATAACAAGTAGGTAGTCAATAATAATAATAAAAATAATAATAAAATAAGAAGCAATCTTATGGAAAATAATAAGAGTAAAATGATGATGATTTCTAAGAGGAGGATGTTATTGATGATGGAATATGAAAAATGAATTATATAAATTAATTATTAGTTATTCAAAAAAACTTATTTTTTGTAGTTTATTATTATTTCATATAAATATAATCGTATATGTTAAAAATTGAGTAATATTTTGAATATTTATTAATATAGAATGTAAAACAATAGAATTAATAGAATGTTCAATGCATTTATTTAATATTTGTATCTTCTAAAATTGGATTCAATGCTACTTGACATAAAGATTTTTTAATATCTTTTGTTATCTGTTTTCTTTGTTATAGAGTACACTTTTTGAGTAATTAATCTTTTAAAAATTATGACATATAATTAATACAAGTACTTCCAGCTAAATCCAATGTTGATAATTAGTATCTTAATTAGAATCTTTCATAAATTAGTACACTATATGTGGCTCTTCACATATAGTTTTTCCTAATGAATATAATGAAAGCACAGTCTAATTTGATATTTGAAGAAGAGGAACGTCAAAGTTTTCTTGGATCTTACTTCCAATTAATATTTTGTTTTATTAAGAATCGTATAATCTGAGAACTTGGGTTTAAAAACAACATTTAAGAGCTGTTTCTCCAATGATTCCAGCTCTTATATTAAATGAAGAATTTTCAATTACAATAGGAGGATGAGATTCTATCATAATTTTATTTGTAAAAAAATTTGATAATAACATTTTAAGTTAGATGGAACTTAAAATAATGTTAATCTATCTGAAATACATACTGTTTTTACTACGAATTTATGTTTAAACAATTTAGTTTAAAATTAGGTTTTTTGAAATTCAATTCACTCTCGATTTAGTTTTTATAATTAAAATGATGTAATTTAAAGAGATGGTTATTATCATTTAACATAAATATGGAATAATTATGTTTAAATAAAATTATATTTAAATCAAAAACTTAATAAATTAAATTTTATACTAATTTAATAGGAATTTCTAATATTCTGTTTTAATTACTTTATAGAACATAGTATAATTTTGAGGTTATTTAACTGTAAATCTTAATTTATCATTCCAATAAATTAAGTATATAACAAACATGCAAGCAAATTACCAAGCAGAGTTAGAATGTAAGTCATAAGCCTAATCTATAAGAGTTGTAAGCCAATGCTATTGAATTGGCATATTAAACTATTGAGGAAGGAAAATGGGAGAAGGAAATTGAGTAAGATGGAGTTGTTTTCTATTCCAAACCTGGCTCTACAGGATGGAAGATCACAAGATCCGAACTTATAGCTGAAATAGACCCAAAAAAAGCTGTTGATGTACTTAGAAACTATACTAGATTTTAAGAATATAACCATACAGCTTAAGAAGTATATTAATAATCATATAATTATTAGATTAATCTAATTAAGAAGATTGATGATAATATTTCTATTCAATATATTTTAACCAAACCTAATTAAGTTTTACAATAATAAAGAGATATAGTCACTTTATCTAGAGCCTCATCCTTGCCTGATGGTACATTTTTTGTTGTTTGTAAACTTATATTTTAGATATTTTTAGCAAAATCCATTGAAGTACCTGAAGCTCCCATAAAAGAATAATATGTTAGAGCAGAGATAATTCTAAGTTTCTTTGGATTTAAACCTGTTGAGAATGGATAAACCTTAGTGACAATGGTATAATCTTTTGATCCAAAAGGAGATGCACCAAAAGACCTTTTGAACAGTTTAGCCAATAAAGTAGTCAATTATAATAAGCTATTTGTTGAGAATTTGAAAAAGGCAACTATAAAAGAGTGATTACAATAAATTATAGATTCTAACATATAGAATTATCCATTATATATTAAATTAATAATGAATCTTCTAATCTTTTTTATTTGTATGTACCTTTTTTTCTTATTATTCTACTTTCTTCCTCTATACTCTAGATGTTGGGAATATAAGAAAATACATTAGCTTTTAATAATATTTAATAGAATTATTAATGGATTAAGATTTGATTTAATTCTATAGCTTCTCTATTCTTTAATGAGATAAGAATTATTAAAATAAACTTCCTGATATAAATTTAATTATCAACCNACTAATTTAATAGGAATTTCTAATATTCTGTTTTAATTACTTTATAGAACATAGTATAATTTTGAGGTTATTTAACTGTAAATCTTAATTTATCATTCCAATAAATTAAGTATATAACAAACATGCAAGCAAATTACCAAGCAGAGTTAGAATGTAAGTCATAAGCCTAATCTATAAGAGTTGTAAGCCAATGCTATTGAATTGGCATATTAAACTATTGAGGAAGGAAAATGGGAGAAGGAAATTGAGTAAGATGGAGTTGTTTTCTATTCCAAACCTGGCTCTACAGGATGGAAGATCACAAGATCCGAACTTATAGCTGAAATAGACCCAAAAAAAGCTGTTGATGTACTTAGAAACTATACTAGATTTTAAGAATATAACCATACAGCTTAAGAAGTATATTAATAATCATATAATTATTAGATTAATCTAATTAAGAAGATTGATGATAATATTTCTATTCAATATATTTTAACCAAACCTAATTAAGTTTTACAATAATAAAGAGATATAGTCACTTTATCTAGAGCCTCATCCTTGCCTGATGGTACATTTTTTGTTGTTTGTAAACTTATATTTTAGATATTTTTAGCAAAATCCATTGAAGTACCTGAAGCTCCCATAAAAGAATAATATGTTAGAGCAGAGATAATTCTAAGTTTCTTTGGATTTAAACCTGTTGAGAATGGATAAACCTTAGTGACAATGGTATAATCTTTTGATCCAAAAGGAGATGCACCAAAAGACCTTTTGAACAGTTTAGCCAATAAAGTAGTCAATTATAATAAGCTATTTGTTGAGAATTTGAAAAAGGCAACTATAAAAGAGTGATTACAATAAATTATAGATTCTAACATATAGAATTATCCATTATATATTAAATTAATAATGAATCTTCTAATCTTTTTTATTTGTATGTACCTTTTTTTCTTATTATTCTACTTTCTTCCTCTATACTCTAGATGTTGGGAATATAAGAAAATACATTAGCTTTTAATAATATTTAATAGAATTATTAATGGATTAAGATTTGATTTAATTCTATAGCTTCTCTATTCTTTAATGAGATAAGAATTATTAAAATAAACTTCCTGATATAAATTTAATTATCAACCTTATTATAATTAAAAAGATTTGTAATTAATTTATAAAATTTTAATATATAAATTTAATTTAAAGAAAATTATGGCTATTATTATAATTAATTTTTTATAATAACCATAAATTTATAAAAAAATCAGAAGCAATCAGAAAAAATTTAGTATACTCACTTGAAAACAAGAAGCAACATTCTATTTGATTCAATTTAATAAGTATAAAAAAATAAAATGTCAGATTAATTACCAGCAGTTATAATAGATAATGGTTCTGGATAATGTAAAGCAGGTATTGCAGGTGAAGATGCTCCAAGATGTTGTTTTCCTGCTATTGTTGGAAGGGCAAAATAAAAGGTTGCTATGTGTAGTATGGATAACAAAGATGTATATGTTGGAGATGAAGCATAAGCTAAAAGAGGTGTCCTATCCTTAAAATATCCTATTGATAATGGAATAATAAATAATTGGGATGATATGGAAAGAATTTGGCATCATGCCTTTTTTAATGAATTAAGAGTATCTCCTGAAGATTAACCAATTTTATTGACAGAAGCTCCAATGAATCCTAAATTTAATAGAGAAAGAATGATTTAGATAATGTTTGAAACATTTAATGTTCCATCCTTTTATGTTTCTATTCAAGCTGTTTTGTCACTTTATTCATCTGGAAGAACTACAGGATTGGTACTTGACTCAGGAGATGGAGTTACTCATTGTGTACCAATTTTTGAAGGTTATTAAATGCCTCATGCTATTTCTAGAATAGATTTAGCAGGTAGGGCATGCACAGACTATTTATCAAAAATACTAAATGAATTAGGATATTCATTTACTTCATCAGCTGAAAGAGAAATTGTAAAAGATATTAAAGAAAGACTTTGTTACACAGCATTAGATCCAAAGGAAGAGGAGAAAAAATATAAAGAAAGCAATTCTTAAAATAGACCATACGAACTACCAGATGGAAACATATTGACAATTAAAGATTAAAGATATAGATGCTCTGAAATTTTATTTGCACCAGAATTAATAGGATTAGAAGTTCCAGGAATTCATTAATTATCATTTACTTCAATTATGAAATGTGATATTGATGTTAGGAGAGATCTATATAATAATATAGTAATGTCTGGGGGAACTACTCTCTTTCCTGGAATCCCAGAGAGATTAAGTAAAGAAATGACTAATTTGGCACCTTCATCAATGAAAATTAAAGTAGTTGCTCCACCTGAAAGAAAGTTTTCAGTATGGATTGGAGGATCTATTTAATCTACCTTATCTACATTCCAATCCTAATGGGTAACAAGATCTGAATATGATGAAACAGGTCCATAAATTGTTCACAGAAAATGTTTCTGAGAATTTATAACAAATTATGAAATATATAATTATTAAATTTATATTTACCTAATATATAAATTTAAATGATTTTATCTTTTATTAAATTCTATTATATTACCAAAGAATATAACTTTATTTTTTTATTTATATTAGTTTTATATAGAATATTAATCTGTAACTTTTAAGATTTTAAATCTATAGAAAGGTTATAATTAATTTTATTTGAATAAATATAAAAAGTCTATTTTATGAAATTTAAATAGAAGAGGCATAATAATAAAGCAAGTCTACATATTGTCTTAAAAGAACTAATGAATTATGATTTAACTATTATCAACCTAATTTTATTACATTCTATAATTATTATTGAATATAAAAGAATAACATAATCTATATTTCATTAGATATAAGAAATATCCAAAACAATAAATTCAATTAAATCATGAATGATCCAAAAGTGCTTAATGTAAAAGAAATATTGATTCTTAAATTATCATAAACGGTTTATAAGATGATTCATTTTAGAGCCTAAATTTTAGATATTATATTATCAGATACTAATATGAATATAAAAGTAGATTAGAAAATTAAGATTAGTTGGTCTAAAAATTAGATATTTTCTTTATTATTAAATTTTAAATGAAAAAAATAGATATTTATATGAAGTAATATATTGTTAAAAGAAATAGAAATAATTTAATTGACATTAATTTTAATCAATTAATAATTTTTTAATATGCTTTGATATCAAGATTTTATTCGAAAATGCCTTTCTTTATCCATATATTAGAAATTTTTTTGAATTCTCAATGTAATCAAAAGGTTGAGATATGATATTGATTATTGATGAGAATTAGTTTTCTTTGCTAAATTTATGACCAGAAATATTTTTATTATAAATTTCAAATTTTGAATTTATGAAATATTAATTCTCAATAAAATAATATAAAAGTTATGAGAAAATGTGTTATGAAATGAAATTTGCATAATTCTTAAATTATAAGTTGAATATAAATAAAGAAATGGTTTTAGCTTTTATAATTGAAAAAATAAAGGTTGTAGAATAAAAAAAATTCTAATTAATTCACATTACTGAGCATTTACACTCTCTATCCGACTCATTTTTCAATTTTTTCTAAGTAGCATCTTTTCTTTTCCTAAGATTAATAACATAAAAATTTTACTTTATATATTAATCAATTTAACTTATTGATAATTCTTCTGCTTAAGTTTTTCCACTTTATAAATCTCTGTATTTTTGATCTGTTGAATTCATAGAACCAAGGATCTTTTAAACTGTGTCTTAGTTGAATTCAGTTTTATACTTTATACTATTTAATGGTTCTTATAACATTTGAGGACGATCTCCTAAACAATTATTTAAGTAAATTCTGAGATGCTACTCTATTTTAGGATCAAATTTTTATTGATCTAAAATGGATTTTAGAAATTGCTTTGCTTTAAGTTTTTCTTAATATAATATTTCCTTCAAATGATGTGATTTTTGGCATTCATATTATTAATCATAATGTATTGAACTTGAAAGATTGACTTATAATATTAATTTGTTATGCAACATTGCCATAATTTAATCAAAATTTTATTCCTTTATTTAAGATTCAATGGCTGCTTGAAAATCTGCAGCTATACCTATTACATTTAAAAAGTCTTATCTCACTGTAAATTTTACTACCTATTCTTCTGAATTAATTTGACTTGTTTTAAATTTTTAGTGTTCAACTTAACTTGAATGATTTGAATAATCTCGTTGACGAGAATCTTAGTACATAAGCTATAATAATTATTACTTACCTTATTTAATTTTCAATAAATGAATTATGATAACATTTTATTCTATTATAAAATGATATTGATAATAGAATATATTTTTTTAATTTAAGCTATCTAATAATTATCAGATATATAAATAAATGTAAAAGGAAGAATAAAAATTTAAAGAAGAATAAATCTTAAAAGAGATTTAATACTATATATTTTAAGATTTGGAAAATGTTTTGTGTTTAATAGGTGAACTAGAACAAACAATACATACATTATAAAACCAAGATGATTATAAATAATCTTACCTTCCAATAGCAACAAATAAAACAATTTTATAAGCAAATATATCAAATGGAATTCATTTGGATTAATATTATTAACATAATAAAACACATAAAAATTTTTTAGAAGAATGTAATAATAAAGCAAGATAAATTTTTGAAGAGGTTAAAAAAAAAAAAGGCATAAATGCTACAGATCCTAAAATTTAGGAGATTTGTGACTTTTATTTGAACAAGAATTTGAAAGCAGAAAACTCTTTTTATTAACTTCCTTTATTACCAGTATCAAGGGAGGCATAATTCAATTAACAAGCTTTGGAAAAAGTAATTTGGGGAACTCAAACTGTGAACAACTAATTAAATGATCTCCAAAATTCAAATTATTAACCTCCTACTGTTAAATAAATTTTGGAAAAAATTAAGTAAAAATTTTATAATAAATTTAGTTAAAGGAAAAAGTATTGTGAAGAATAGTTGATAAAGAACTTTGGTATAAATCAACAAAATTAACCTAATGAAACAAAAAATTCAGAAAATTTAAGAGAATTCGAAACAGAAGAAGATAAATAAACTTTGAATGATAAAACTATCATGTAAGATTAAAATAGTTAAGTTTTTGAACATCAATAACAAAAGAATTAAAATGGTATGTAAATTGAGGATGAATCAACTGAATAAAATTTGCTAAAAAATAAATTAGATAGAGATGGCAAAAGTAAAGAGAATACTGATCCAAATAAAGAACAATAATAAGAGAATGATATATAAATTGAAGATGAATAAGATTTAAGGAATTCAAGGGCTACTAAAGTTTAGGAATCGAAATTTGGAATAACTGAATTACCAAAAGCAACTCAAGGAGATGAAAATGATTGCGTTGAAGAAGGTGTTGATTAGCAGTGAGAAGATTAGATTAAGCAAACGTACATATGATTTTTCTGATAAATCTATGTTGTTTTCATTTATTTTTTATTTGAAAATTATATTAAAATAAATATAAAAACTTCAATGGGAACTTTACTATTGAATTTAGGATAATGTGGTAATCAACTTGCTTTACAAATGTTTAATCTTATTGATAAATCTTCGATGCATGAGGGAAATATGTTTTTGAGAAGACGAGAATCAAATATATATCACACTATTTTAGTTGACACAGAACCAAAAATATTGAAACCAATTGTTGAAGTATGTTATAGATAACATAATAAAAAAGGATAGAAAATTGTACTCACATATTGATGTCAAAAATGTTCTTTATTATTAATATGGAAGAGGTAATAATTGGGGTTTAGGTTATCTTAATTTTAAATAGAAATCTAAACTTTCTAAATCTAATTAATAGTAAGCTATCTCTGTTTTTAAGTCTTCTACTAATGAGGTTTCCATATAGTAATATTGTTAAGAAAATGAGTAAATAGTTGAATAAATTATTAATTAAGCAAGAAAAGAAATAGAAAAAACTGATTATTTTTTAAGCATTTCTACAATAATGAGTTTAGCTGGTGGTACTGGGTCTGGTTTAGGTAGTAGAGTAATCTAAGAGTTTTCTGATATATTTCAAGAAGTTCATTAAAATGTAATAGCAATATTTCCGAATAAAACTGGTGAAACACCACTTTAGCATTATAATACACTTTTATCATCAGCACATATATAATAATATGCAGATTCAATTATTTATTTTGAGAATGACAGAATATATTAAATGTTAAGTTAGATTGGATCAAAACAAATAGATAAAAGTGTTGATTTATCAAATGTAAATGAATATATAGGATCTTGTCTAATGAATTTATTTTGGATTAATGATAATTATACAAATGCTCGTTATTATTAAGATCTTTTATCTGAATGTTGCATAACTGAAGGTCATAAATTTATTGAAGTAGTATCAGCTCCATTTACTTTATTTGCTCATTCAAATTTGGGACCATTATGTACTTGGGAAGAATTGATAAAAAGTTCTTTAGAATAATATGCATTTGAAAAATTTGAAGATGATAGTGATTAATAATAATAAATTGGAGAAGCAGTTACAAAATCTCTATAAATACAATCAGTTTAAAAAAAAGGAGAAACTACTTTAAATCTTTAATCTGTATTTAGATCAGAAAATGTATTCAAGACATTATAAGATTCAGATTCTCATATGAAATTTTTAGAAAGGAAAATTAATTCTGTTTTTAATCCTATTTAATGGAATCCTGATGCGGTTTAATTACATTTTATAAATGAAAAGTCTTCAGTCAAAGGACATGATTAAAAAATGAATGTCACTTTAATTAATTCAACTAAAATCATTCCAATATTAAAGAATGTGAGTAAAATTGCCTATTAGAAATATAGAAGTGGAGCATATTTGCATTGGTATTGGAAATATGGCTTAGAAAATCAAGATTTTGATAATGCTTTTGAATCTTTATAAAAAATACAAGATGATTATAATTATATGGTAGAATATTGATAAATTTTAGTAATTTCAAATTCATTTTTTATAATTCGTTCTCTTTTCATCATCCCATCTAATTCGTTTTCCATTCAACCATTCTCCTGTTCTTTCAATTTCTCCAACAACATATAATCCTTTTCCGTGTTATTTTCCATATTCCCATTCTCCTTCATATCTTCTTCCATCACTCCATTCATATATTCCATAACCCTTATATTAAATAGTTAAAATATACATGTTTTTAATCATTGAAATATTAACCATAATATTTTCTACCATCTGGCCAAGTATAAGTTCCTTTGCCATGCATATTATTATTCTAAAACTCACCTTCATATTTTCTACCATCTGGCCAAGCTAGAATACCATAACCACATAATTTATTATGAACCCAATCCCCTTCAAAATATTATCCTGTTGGCCATATATATTTCCCTAATTTTAATAATATAATTTACCTTTTCCATGTTTAAAACTGTTTTAAAAGAATCCTTGATAGGATGATCCATCTGGCCAAACTTCTGAACCATATCCATGTTATTTATCATTAAACCATTATCCTTCATATTTTGCTCCTTAAATATGTTAATAGATTCCGTATCCGTTTGCCATATCATTCTCCCAATCTCCATCATAAATATCTCCATTGGAATGGGTGAATTTCCCTTTACCTTAAGCTTTATTATGTTTCCATTCTCCTTCATATTTTGCTCCATCTGGCCATATTTATATACCTATTCCATCTCTTGCTTATCCTTTCCATTCTCCTGTATATACAGCACCACCTTTGAATCTTATACTTTTTATTTGTATACTTAAAAGGTTAGCGTGTTTCTCTTTCGAATTCATCTTGGTTTATAGTAATTCCTGATTCAAATTATTCTTATAGATCAACTTCATGAGTGTTTATAGTTTTTTAAGGAATTGATTCTATTATTTTTTAGTAGGTAAGCTTTTTTCTAACATAATAACCTCGCCAATATTTTTAAATGATAGTTGCCATTTTATTTTTTACAATGACTTTTGATGTTGATTTTTAAGAAGATGTAGCAACAACGAGTACATATTCCTAAAAATATATAATGAGATGTCTTTTATTACTGCTTTCTCAATATCTATATATTTCTCTTTTTCACATTTACAATTATTACACTATGAACCCATACTTTATGACTAATCTGTAATTATTTAATAAATAATCATTAATTAAGAAGATTCCAAAAATCTTTTCTTTGAAGTTTATGCATCAAATATATTATAATTTAATTGAATATACAATAGAGATTTCTTTAATCAATAAAATTAATGGATTATTCTATCATATCCTTAATTTCTTAAAATCTATTAAAAAATATTGTAACTTAAAACATAATGTATTTCTTCTATAACATTATAATATATAAAGAATATAATCCAATAAATAAAAAAATAATTTATAAATATCATTAAAGATGTAGTTTTAATTGATCTAATTTTTAAAATTAAAAATTTTGAATATATCTTATAAAAAAAAACACTTCAATTTCTTTTCCTCATATGTATGTTTAATGATCTCTGTATGGTTTATTTAGCAATCTGATTTAATCAAAATATTTATTATAAAATCTAGTTTTATCATATTCATCCTCATTTATTTGCCCATTAGGATATAAATCTACAGGAATTTCAATTTAAAATTTATTTTTCTTAAAAAGATCTAATATATTTTAAATCTTAAAGTTTATAGTTAATATCACAATGTGATGTGATCTAATCCTTTATCCAAAATATAGAGGTGGGCACCTTCCCTCAATAAATTACAAATCTAAATTCAACTATTCTTAAGGATTTATTACTCCTTCTACTTTAGATAGTTCCTTATGAGCCTAAGCAGCAAATTCAAAATTAATACTACTATCAGTGCTTTCTTTAATAACTACTCTTGAGTATAAAGCTGCGGTTATTTCAAAATTACCTATATTACTCGGAGAGCCTATTTTTAACTAGATTCTGATGCCATCTTTATTCAATTGCCAAGTAATTGTTAATGGAATTTTTTAATCTAAACTTCTTACTAATTGTATTTTATCATTTACATTTGTAGTAAACTTTGTTGGAATGTTGAATTTTAATGGAATTGCAATTTAATAATAATCTTGATTTTTTTCCCTTAATATTAACTTAAAGGATGAACTGCACTTCAAGTAATTAGATTTATTCCTTGATTCGTTAGATTCATAATGAAAAGGTATGATTTTGGGTGCAAAATGAAAATTCAGATTTATATATTGATTATTATTCTGTTAATCATTATCAACAGAGAAATTGTATAATTTTTCCTCATTTTTAAGAATAAATTTCTTAGTCCAATAATTATAAAATGCTTCTTCTTCAATTGATATCTATATTAAAATTAATTATACATAACAAATATATTATTCATTAGCTTCACTCACACCTCTTATTATTTCAAAATATTTTTTTCTGTCATCATCTTATAATTATGAATTTTATTAAATCTTTCTAATTAATATGTTAGTATTTATTTTAATATTAATTTTTCTTTATATAATTTATTAATTTTCATTTTCCAATTGACTTTATTATTCATTTTCTAATCCTAATATTTATATTTCCAATAAATAATTTGAATCTATGGTGAGCATTTTTGAATAAAAATAAAAATTAAAAAAAAATAATAATTTAATACATTTATTTAATTTATAAAAAATATTCTATTAAATATTCTAAAGGAAACTAAATTTATATAATGTAATAAAGTAAATCATAGATAATAATTATTCATTAATTATAAAAATCAAATGTTAGATTATTTTAATTTTTAACATCTTTTTTATATGTATATGCAACTGAATTTTGATTCAAATTCTCTTTATTTTGATGATAATAAAGTTGAGATTCTAAAAATATTATTCTATCCTTTTAACTTTATATTATTTTTTCTTATTCTTATATGATTTTTTATTTTTATTCTAATTAATCTTAAATAATTCCTAAATCAAAGCTTTTACATTCTTATTACATTGTATATTATAAATCAGCTTAAGATTTGATTTTTTAATTTTTAAAAATAGTTTCCATTTATAATAATTTTTATTTAAGTTGATCATTTTCTTTGATAATCTAATCATAATTTATGGATATTTCTTAAATTTAACTAATACATACAACAAAATTAGAACCACAATCAAATGTTTTAATTTATTTACTTTTTAGCTATTTTATATGTTAAATATCAGTTCTAGGAATGTAATCTTTTTAAGCTAATTCCCCTGAAGAATTTTTACCCCAAGAATAAATTTATCCATCTTCATCTAAAATGCAACCAAATCCATTTCCAAGTTTAATTTTTTTAATTTATTATGGAAAATCAATTTTAGTAGGTGTAACAAATTCTCCAAATATTCCAGACTAATTTATTTTTTAATTAAATACTCCCCATAAATATAAGTCATTTTTAGAAGTAATAGCTGCTGAAAAATTTGATGCATATATCTTATTTACATTTTATATCTTCAATGGTTTTAATTAATTATATGAAATTGATTATTTGCCATTTCCTAATTCTCCATTTTTATTAGATCCAAAAGAATAAACTTGTCCATTATTTAATACTAACGTATGAGTTATACCACATTTGACTTTATCATATTTGTCTAAACATAACACTTATTAAGGAACAAACTAAAATATTTCAATTAATTCACTTACACTTTCATAACAATTCAAACCCAATTAACCATAATCATTTGATCCACACATATATAATTAACAATTAAAATCTATTAATCCCATATGATGTTCTCCACATGAAAACTAATTGATTTTCTTAATTTTGAGTAATTATGGTTAATTTGTATGAATGTTAAATGCTTAGTTTTATCCCCATGTGTAAAGTTCTCCTGTATCTCTTTAAGCTACTGTATAATTAGCAGCTGCTTTAACTCTTATAAATGGTCCTTTTAATTCAATTAATTAAGGAGTAGAAATATAAGAAAGTTGCCTAAATTCAAATTTAAAATCCAATTACGTGTTGAGACCTAATTGTCCTTATTCGTTCAAACCCATAGTGTATAAGCTTCCATTATTTATTAATAAGCATGAATGTTGAAAACCACAGGCAATTTTGACCACAATAATTTTATATGAACAACATTTCGGATTATTTACATTCTATTTTATATACTCATCCCCTAATCCCAATTAACCATATTAGCAATCTTTTTATATTAAATAAAAATATTACTTCCCCATACATAAAGTTCTACAAATACTTAACTTAATTTTACCTGTCTATTTTCGAATTTGAGACATTTAATTAAAATTATAAATTATTACACAAATAGTTGTATTAAAATAAATACTTGAATATATATA